TATATATATCTCTGAGAAGGTTGCAAGTATCCTGGTCGATCCACATTTTCACACACATTTTCTATTAGTCCAATAAACCTGAATTCAATACTTAAAAAAATATTACTGTGTCTGAAACTGAAACTGCAATAGCTGTTGCAAACACCCAAATATTTATTAATAAAAATAATTAAGATTAATAGGGGTGCCCAAACTTTTTTGAAATCACTGTATTTCCGATTGCTCATTTGGAATAACCCTTCCATTATTTAATAAATGGTTCCCCCCAAAATTTGTCTTAGTTTGGCAAATCTATGTTCTTGTTAAAATTTTAGAGAATCTCACCTGGACATGGACTTAGCTTGCAGATAATGACTGTTTCCGGCTTATCTCCCTCGCATTCTGTCAAGGTACTGTCGCTGGCCTTGCAGGCCACCTGCCTTTCCTGAATCCCTTCGCCGCATGTCACTGAGCACTGCCAAACAAAAGTCGAAAACGAAAAGAATAAGCAGACAGTTGGGTTTATTCTAAAATTAAGGTAATTCAATGTATTATCAATTTTTTTTAAATATATGATCTCAGTAAAAAGTTAAAGTCAACATTGCTTTCCTCTTTTTTTTTTTCCACATTTCAGACTTCAAAGATCGAGATATAAAACTGTAATTTTATGTGAAGAATCAACAAAAATGGGACACAATCATGAAGTAAAACACCATTTATTGGATATTTCAAACTTTAAAAAAATGGCCAAATGTCCATAGGACAACAATCGGTCGTATACTGTACAAATCTGGCTTTTTTTTTTTTTATGGAAGAAAGACATTACTAAAAGATATCCATAAAAACTCATGTTCAAAGTTTGCCACAAGCCACCTGGGAGACACGGGAAACATGTGGAAGAAGGGGCTCTAGTCAGATGAAACCAAAATCAAACTTTTTGGCATCAATTAAAAAAAATTGTGTTTGGCACAAAAGCAACACAGCTCATCACCTTGGACACACCATCCCCACTATCAGACATGGTGGTGGCAGCATTATGGTTTGGGCCTGCTTTTCTTCAGCAGGGACAGGGAAGATGGAGCCAAATACAGGAACATTCTGGAGACCTGAGACTTGTATGGAGATTAATCTTCCAACAAGACAATGATCCAAAACATAAAACATAATCTACAATGGAATGGCCAAGTCAAAGTCCAGACCTAAATCCAGTCGAGTATCTGTGGGAAGAACTGAAGCCTGCTGTTCACAAACGCTCTCTATCCAACTTCACTGAGCTCCAGCTTTTTTTGCAAGAAACAATGGGCGAAAATTGCAGTCTTTCAAAGTGCAAAACCATTAGAGACAGAGCCCAATGACTTGAAGCCCTAACCACTGTTAACCCAAGGTGGCTGAATAATATTGCACACTCAATTTTTCATTTTTTTTATTTCTGAAAAAGTTTAAAATATCCAATAAATTTCGTTCCACTTCATGATTGGATCAAACTTTTCGTTGATTCTTCACAAAGAAATAAAATTTTATACCTTTATGTTTGAGGCCTGAAATGTGGCAAAAGGTCAAAAAGGTCAAGGGGGCTGAATACCTTCACATGACAGTAAAAATGCAAATACACCAAATAAGGAAGGAATTTTACAAGATAGGAAAAAAAAGCCCAACGATTTTTATCCAATCTCTTTTGTATCCAAATGGTTTTATCTCTTTTTAGAACATTTATTTAAAAGTGACCACATTTTTAATATTCTTTTACCTCAGACCACGCCCCAGTCCTCCACTGAGAGGGGCATGCGGTGTAGTTACACACTCTCCTTATCTCTGGCCGATTGCCTGTGCAGTGTTTACTGTGGACAGTCCGGCTGGTGCCATTGTTGAGTGGCTGCATGCACTGCACCACTCTGGTCTGGTAGCCGACCTTCCCGCAGGTCTTACTGCATGGGCTCCAGTCTTCCATTATCCACCTATCAAAAAAACAGATTGTTTTAAAAAAGGGTTTCATTTCACATTTTGAAAATTTATATAAATTCCCACTGCATGTTTGTGATGTCACCGACATTCACTTACGTGGGCTGGTTGCACTCTTGAACATTGCAGCGTTTGCGAATAGGTTTGGGCTTTTTGCTGGTTTCACAAAAGTTTCTATGGACTAAACGACCATCACTCTTCCTCCTGCATCCATATTTTGTGTACTGTATACCTATAAATAAGTAAGAGGAAGTAAAAGCTTAAAGAAGTGTAAAAGGTCCAGAAATCTGAGAACATATTACATTAGAACCACCCCCTAATGAACGGCTGTAGAAGGCCTCTATAGATGTGTGTCTACCTTGTGCGAGCTTTTTCTTTAGGATTTTTTTTTGTGCTTGCATGTCTTTGCATCACGTTTGTTGCGGGTCCTTTCGCCAGTTGCTACATGTTTGCACCTGGTAGCCAGCTTAGAATTAAGCTTTAAATCTAAATCAGTCATTTGAAAACAAAATGACTCAAGTTCAAAGTAGCATTTTCTTCTAACATAAGCTCTTACCCATATAACCTGCTTGGTTCATTCATAGCTCTACTCTGTGTTTAATACAAAAATATACCATATCAGTGTTCCTTAAATCAGAATAGGCAGCAAATGCAACTGAATTCTGATCTCATCTCATTTTGATTGGGATAATCATAACCTGTGTTCTGAGATTCTCTGTTTTTAAAATAAGAAGCTGCTTTAAACCAGTGCAATTTGCAACTGGTTGATCTGTTCCACATACACAAACTTACCACCGCCACAAGGTTTGGAGCACTGAGACCAGCTTTTCAGTGCCCACTCGTACGTATCCAGCTCAGAAAGAAGCACATTGTTGTTGGTGATCAATGGCAACAGGTCCTCATGTATTATGTACTTATAAGTCAAACTAATTTTGACATCTTCTTCCAGTGGAATGACCTGCAACAAAATAAGCTAGGTTATTGATAAACCATTAAAGCAGATAAAATTTTAAAGTAATTTTTAGTTACTCACCAGAACTACAATGCCTTCATGCAGAGGACCAGTTGTTTTTAATGTCTCCCTCTCTCCATCAATGGAGTATTCCCACTGTAAACCATTTTCGATGAAGGTCTTTGATTCAGCATCTTCGCTTTTTTCATTTAATATGAAGTGCCCGGTAACTTGATTCTTTACAGCTAAGTATTGAAGGGAAAAGGTCATTTAATTAAAATGCAAAGAGAAGAAAAATATCCCTGCCAAGTGACTTTATTTTAATATCTTTTATATTTTCTCAAAGGGGGAAGCCTCACTGCATGTATTCTCACATTACAACTATTGTGATGATCCGACGCTAATTCCTTCAAGTTAAGTACCATCTGCCCCTCTCAATAGCCTCTAAAAGCAAGGAAGACAATGTAGAGACAGAGAAGACTCTAGTAAATCCCTCTCAAATCAATATGTTATTAATCAGGGTCTTAAGTAACATAAATTATCCAACCTGAAAGAACATAAGTTTTTAAAAGTGGATTATATGTTTTTTTTTTTGCAGACTGAATATAGATAGCACTCAAATTTTAATATTCAGAAATCAGTATGAATGAAAAGATGCAGTGATTAACTCTAATTAGTTTATTCACTAGCATATTCATCTACCTGACCTGCTCCATAATTTCATTTGACATCTATATGACATTAGCTGTGAATTTAACTATTTGACCAAACATAAACTTTATACAGTAGCTCTAGGCTGAAAATTGGATCTGCGATGGAAAGACAGGGTTGTAATAAGTTGTGTGTTGAATAATAAAACAAAGTATTAAAAAAAGTTTTTGTCTTGTAGCTGAAAAGTTGCAGGTTTGATTTCAGATTCCTCCTCTGTCACATGTTGACGTGCCCTTGAGACCAAAAGTTTGCCTGCCTATTTGGATATCAGCATAACGATGTATAGTATTAAGCCCTTAGAGGTGCATAGTCACGTTATTTGAGATTTTAAATGCATACACCATTCGCTCTATCTGGTTAATTACAAAAGCTGTTTTTTTTCCTGAAAGATTACGGCTTACAATTGAGTTATTTTTGAGTTTTACGCTTTGTTTTCTGTATTTACACAAAACATCATTGGTATGAAAGGGCTTATTTGCACAGGGGTAAACAAGGAATGAATGCAGCAAAGTCAGTTAGCACCTCTGAGCAGTGTGAGAAAAAATAAAGAAAAATCCAATATCCTGTGTGATAAAATATTTGATTCCAAAAGGGATAACATTCAAACAGCGCTCAGAATGCAATGTAAAATAACATTTTCTAAAAATGCTGAAATATTCCAATTATTCTGCTGGTTGGATGGATGTGTTAGTAAATGTCCTTTTTAATACTACCGTAATACTACTTGTAACAATGCTATTCTTAATGCTATTCTACAGTCTTAATACTAACAAATATTATAAATATATACTGTAGAGTGATTGGTTCCTAACTTGATGTTGTGTTCCTGTTTGTATTTGTTAGTAACAGAATAGTTCTGCTTGGTTTTAGTATTTTTTTTACAGAAGTATAACATGACTACACTTTTAACCAATGGGCCTGGTACCTGTCAGAGGGAGTTTTGCCCACTTTTCATCTTTTGTTAAACTTGGTCAGACATTTCTGGTTTCAGAAATCCCTCAAAGAAGCCTTAAGCTCCTAAAACAAGTTGTTAATATGTTTTCACAATTAACTTATTCTTACAACACTTAAAACAGAAGATACAATTCAAGGCTCTATTAAAAACATTCTGGAAAAATGCTTCATGACATAGATATGTTGTTGCTTTTCCCCTCATTGCTGGTATCCTTGGAAACTAGAGTGATACCTTTCCAACAATCTATTGTACTGTATGTCTTTTTTAGATGTTGTTAGGCATCACAATTTCAATCTGTAATGAAGATTACAAAAGCTGTAGTCATTTTTATAACCTCTGTGCTTTATGCACAGTTTGCTGTTCAGATTGCTTCGAACACGGCTCTGTCATAGGCAGGAGTCCCCCAGTGTTAAAATCAGCACTTTGACCAGATCTCCTTTTATAAATGTAAAGGTTCCGTTAAATCATGTAAAAAGTGACAGCTCGGCCTGTCACGATGACCTGCTAAAGCCCTTGTGGATCAAATATGCTTTCGTTGATTTTGTTCTAATTGGCTGTAATTATAGTAAAGCTGTAAATAAATAGCTTCCAATGTCTGTCCTGGGTTTTCATAATGGTTTTCACTGTTAATTAAAAAAAAGACTTCAGGGAAGGCAAGAAAAGGCTCCTGTGAAGGTCCACTAAGGGAAAAAGTTTTTCTATGCTGTGGCTGAGCTCAAGATGACCTTTGCTGAGAGCAAGTAAGGTATGGTTTATAGTTTCAGAAGAAAAAACAAAATTTTGAGTTTTTTAATGAATGGACGAAATGATCAGTATATACAATCCAGGTGTGTCCAGATGACCTTAATTTCTCCCTACAACAACATTGAAACAGTTTAAAGAGTCATCTACTAAGCAATGATTTAAAAATACAGAAAACTCCAGGTCAGTATAAAGCTTAATACATTTTTTTCTGCTTTTTTCTTTAGGTAAAATATTAGCAGAATGATGTAACATAAAAATACCTGACTTTGGATGATGAGATCAGATCTATGATTAAATCATTTAATATTAAGTTTCTGTGTTATCTGTCCCACAAGAGGTTCATACTAGAAAAACTAGAACAAGAAGAAATAAAAAAATCATAAAAACAATTAACGGACGTAATGCTTTTTTTTTTCTGATTCCTATTTTTACTAGCAAAACATACTGTACAGTTCAACCAAATGCTTTTAATGTAAAAATTGCCAAATTTTGAAGTGAAGACCCTCTTGAGCGATTTAGTCTCAGAATAAATGTAGCTGTTCAGTGTAGGCCTTAGGAATTTGTAAGACAGAATTAGACAAACAGCATAATACAGAAAACAAGAAAAATTTAGTCACTTCAAGGGTAAAAGTTTAAAGAAGCCTTCAGATATAAAACAATATACCATGCTTTGTCCATATCACAGAGGTCTAAAAAATGGAAATAATGTGGCACAACTGCAAATCAGTCAAGGCATGGGGCCTGATTTTCAAAAAAAACAAAAACAAAAGAAGGAACACTAAGGTTCATAAGAAAAAAATAATGTTTTAATGCAGGTGCAATAATTTGGGGCATTGTAGGTGATCTTTGAAGATGCGGTTTCACCCCATTTAAATGTGCAAATTGCGTGTACTACTGGCAGTGAGAGAGAGGGGCTGTAAAAGTAAAGATGGAGTTTTAAAGATTGTAATAGTGATAATAATTGCTTAAAAAAAGAAAGACAAATTATAATAAAGATAAATATGATTTACAGAGCAAACAGCTGGATTTGCCTCCCCACTTCCTCTCAACAGCCACTTTATACAAAGATATTGCAAACAATGGACGACCGATAATAATCTAATAAAAACATAACTGTGCGGACTATAGATGTTTTAATTTTCTTTTTTATTCAATATTTTCATTTTGCATAATCTAGACCAACATTATTACCAATTTTTAAAGCAGAATAAAAGTTACGATATATAAAGTACTCACCAATTATGTGAGGGGAGGTATTGTTTTCTTCAATAATTATGTGTCGGGCTCCCATTGGGATGTCAAACATTTTAAGCATTCCTTAAAATGACAAACAAAACAGGTCAGGCAAGAGAAGCAAACTGTTTGGGCTTATTGCTGCAATAATTGGTTGTAACTTTAGGTTTACCATTCTTTTTAGGGGTCTTAGTGAGTGTCAGCTTCACAGTACGACAGTGAGAGTTATCCCCCTCACAAACTCCACATTTATCCTCTTCTTTGTATGAGCCGACCTCTTTGTCGCAGCCTACATGCTGCAAAGCAAGAGATCCAGACGGACAATCAAATCAGCAACTTTTAGACACACCAAGATTATGTCAATATTATGATTATGAAAATTATGTCATGTGTGATTCTTTCTCTTATTTGGCTTTCATGGTGCCTTTTTAATGTGACGATTTTCAGGGAAAAAAGCAGAGATAACATAAAATGTAGCCTAAACAAAACATTGAGCCTTTTCATACAAAGATTAAAACCTCAAACGTTATGTTCAAGGTGAAAACCCGAATAAAATACAAATATTGTCTACTCACTGAAGGAGAGCTAAATCACAGTCCAGACTGTTTGCAGTTTACATTAAGATATGTGATGAACCACAGAATGAGAACATTAATCGAAAGGACATGAACAACGGTTGAGGCAATTTGTGAACAAATACCAGTTCATACACACATACAAATAAACCTGACTATCTTTACGGGGCCTCTCCATTGATTTCTGTTATTTTCTAACCTATTTTTACAACCTAAACATGACCTCTAGGCTAAACCTAACCATTAGGGGTTGATAACTAACCATACCTAAACTCAACTCTGACCATCATCCTAAACATGACCCCTCACCCTAACAGCACTTCCCCTCATGGCGTCCAGCATCAGGTCCCAGAAGGAGCAGTTAGCCCCATCAAAAAAGTGCTATTTTTCCAGGGCCCCTCAACGTATCAAACCCAGACACACTTCTTACTTATTACTTCTTCATGTGGTATCATAATTAAGGTAAATACAAAAACCCGACATGAAAATTACAAATGAACACCCACTCATGTTGTAATTTCTACTGAAAAGCTGGGAAAATTCTATCATACCCGAGTTGCCAAGATGAGGTCACCTATGACTATTTAAACATGGCGAAGCAGGAAGGAAGCAGGAAGTGACTGGTGAATACTGCATAATTAAGCGTTTTTCCCTGTTGTGTTTGTAGCCTCCACAATGCTATGAAAATTATTGTTTTAAAATTGTATCACCATTTAAATTTGTGTCGTTTGAGAAATGGCCGTCATTGTTTGTTTTACAAGCAGTAAGGATCATCTTTACCAGAGCACCTGAAGGCAGCATTATTCCACATTCAACTCTATTAACTTATATCTGAACATCCCTTCTAAACTTGCTATTTCAGGACTTTTTCAACATTTCACTCAATTTAAACGGATAAGAATTTCTCAATTTAAACGGATAAGAATTTCATCAGGTCATTTAAGGAATGGGAAGATGCAGAAACCTCAAGATAAAAATTCTTCTGCTACAAAAGCTACAGCGCCTCTTACTCAGAGACAATCATAACCATAATGAATCTAAAAGTGGAGATTCAGGGGGACAACAAAAAAAAAATTTGGATAAACTGTACCTGGAAATTAAAAGCAAGCCATATTAAGTGAGGCAAGAAATCAATGGTAAGTTGAGAACAAAAATTAATCCATCTGGGCAAAGCTAGACCAAGTGTTACATTTAAATACTCCAAACTTATTAAGAACATAGTGTTCTAGAGCCCCCTAAATTGAATGATTATTATTTTGCAGCATATTTGAGAAATGTAGTTTTTTGGCGCTCCCTGGATGTTGGAGCAGAAATGGAAATACATTTTTACTAAAAAGTGTTTAACTGCCTTGTGTATGTTTAAGGACCCTTTACATAATTTGAAAAACTGAATACTGAATTTATTTAAAAACAAAGATCTGTTTAGATATATACAATTAAGTCAATTTTAAGATAAAGAAAGTGGTCTTGCCCCAAGATTGATTTGATCAAAGTATTTTCTGATGTTTATAAATGTCTACTCAACAGAACGGTCTCTAATATTACAAAAACTAAATGACAACACTGTAAGCAGGAGATGGAGGTCAAAATGCCAGACACTCTGCTTTATAATGTGCAGCACACAAAAACTATCAATAAGCTTAAAAGCTAGATGGAATTTACTGTAGGTGGAAAACCCATATCAGACTTTATCACCTAATATTTGTTCAAAAATATCAGGGGCAGAATCAGCAATGTTGGAGAAGGTGCATTCATTCAAACACTTCTTACACCCATATTTTTTTACTTTTCTCCTAGCCTAGCCTAAGATTTTTCTACCGGCTCTTCTACCCATAGCGGTGATTCAGAAGAAGGACAAATACAAATTTAATATTCCTGTTATTGCAACAAACGATGCTACAATGAGAATCAGGCTTATATAAGATCCTCTTCAGGCTTATCAATGGCTTGACCTTATAGAGGAGATACACATAAATGGAAGACGAACCATTTTTCTTGGACTTATAGAACATAAAATGTTGGTCTAAAGGGTATGGATACAAACAAGGAGAAACTTGAAAACATATTCTTTAAAATGTCACTGTTCTTTGAACAATTGTACCTTACCAGTGCTCCAATCAGTTTGTTTTGTTACTTAAAGGTATAGTGCAGGATTTTTGCGAATTTTTTCCTCTCCACTTAAAAAAAAAAAAAAATGCAAAAGCACAACCCTATACCCGCTATTAAACACGTGCGAGAGCATGCACAAGCCCATTTCTCCCTGTGTACGTTATGCTTAAAAGTTGCTGTTTGCATCACTACAAGCTTACTTTCCTCATTTTTCCACTATGTCAGACTCACCAAGGTAACTGTTACACCTAAGACTCACCAGACACTCTCCTCGAGCACAGACGCTGAAGGGGTCTGTGTAACTGCACCTCGTCCCATCGTGCATCACCTGGTTCATAAACACCACCTCTCCGGTGTCTTTCGACTTACAGCTCAGTTCACATTTACGGGCCTCTGGAAACACAGCAACAAACAGTCGTACAGACCATAGTTTATCAAATTACTTAACTAAATTCTACTTAACTAAATTCTTTTGTAAGAGGGCTTTATCTCCAAACTTCAGAATACATTTAAAGGCTTACCATCCGGGTGCTCGTAAGGCAGCCAGGTGTGCTTTTTGTTGTTGTGGTATTTGTTGCTCCGCTGGATGCATTGCTGAGCACGGAAATCTTCATAAGGGCCAGCGCACTCCTCCGTGTTGCACATCTGGTAGTCAAAAGCAGAGCCCGAGCAGTCCCGACCACCGTAGGCAGGCCTGACTCACGACATCAACAAAAGCGACATAACATTACTCAACAAGGTCTAATAGCAGCTGTATTTAGAGTAATTCTATTTCTAATCTATTTTTATTTTATTAAATTTGACTTGACTTATTTTTAGTAGTTGAAACAAAGATATGACTTAAAACCCCAAATATTTCTTATTAACTAGCAATATCAGAACACACATATTTCAATTTGAATTTGCTTTAATGTTACTGAGTATCCATAAGAGAGGGCAGAGCACTGTAGTCCTAATTAAGAGAAGCACTAGAATGAGTACTCATACAAAAGTGAAATTACGGTGCAAATAAACTACTCCTAAAAGTATAGATTTGTCAAAAATGACTCAAGTATGCAAAGCTGAATGAATGTAACGACAGTAGCTACTACCCACCTCTGGTCTATAGTGAAGCAAACAGTTTAAAATATCATCATCCAGGAACCCCATCCTCTGGAGTAACTTTAAATAAAATTTGAAAAACCTTTGATTTCTATGTTAAAACCTGTTCCTAGTACAGTTTTTGTTCTTCTTGCATCTCTTAAATTACTTTGCAGTTTTTCTTTGAGAATACCCAGTCTAAAGGCAAAAAAATAATAATAATTTGGGACTTTCAGACTGTGCATGTTTTCTGTTTTCCCTATTTAACAGTCCATTTCCTCATCATATACATCATATATACTCCCCATTCGTTCTATCCTCATCTCATTACCTCAACCTACTGCTTCTATAAGCTATTTAGAAGGGGAAAGAAAAAAAAGCAATAAAAACAAGTAACCAAATATAATGTTCCTCTTTTAAGAAAAACCTTCCCACCACCATTCTGCATGGGCATATTGGTTTGCTTATTTATTTATTTATTTTTTGTGTTGCTTCTTGCAGCTCTTTCAGGAAGTCAGGATTTGTGACATGCTCAATTGATAGTTGACTTTCACGTCTGCTCCTGGCATTATTATCACTCATTCTTCCCACCTGTGCAGCTCCTCCCTTCTCATCAGTGCTCATGCTTACCACCTGCTCCCCTCTCTATTTAACCAGACCTCAAATCAGTTACTGTTGCCAGATTATTTGGAGAAGATGGAGTAGCTAGTAGATGTCTTTTGTTCTTTCGATGCCTGATTCTAGCCTTGCTTTTGCTTTTTTTCCCACAACCAAGTTCCTTTTATTCCCCTTTGACTTCAAGACGGTGAATCTGTCTCTGAGTATCTGGTTGTACTGTACTTCTGGCCCAATCTGCTCTTGTGAGCAGTGCCCTCTCCATTAAAGTGGTACAAGCCAGCAGTGGCATCACCATTAAATCAAGTATTATTAAGAGTGTTGCTGCAAAACCAAAGCTCAGTTTCCTGGTTGCCACAGATTCTGACAAGAGGTTCCTGTCTCCACTGCTGACTGGGTTCCTGGTTCACTCTGACTTTAATAAATTTGCTAACCTTTAGTTTGATGTGGTATTATATAAATTTTGTTTATGTTTTGGAAGTTTTGGATCCTTCTAGCTAATCCATAGTTATCAAGTGTCTTTTAAGAAATAACAAGATAAGCTATCAAAACTTTGCATATGGTGACTTGAAAAAATTTACTGCATGGATGATGTGCCAAAATTATCTTCATGTGAATCAAAACACAGCTTCAGTTAATTCAGCTAGAAACAACCAATCAGGCTTAAAAACTAATTTTCTGTTTATCTTTAGTAGAATTGATAACCTCAATGGTGTCTTCACAAGTCTGCCTAAAAAATGATCAGAGAGCTGCAGTTGATCCAGAATACAGCTACCCTCACTAAAACTAAGAAAGTGGAGCCCACCACCCCAGTGCTAAAATTTTTACACTGGCTCCACATATCTAAGAGAATAGACTTTAAAATACTTCTGTTGGTCTATAAATCATTGAATGGCTTAGCACCAGATTACATTACAGACTTGCTGTCAGTGTATCAACCACCCAGACCTCTCAGCTCTTCTGAATCAAATCTGCTTTGCATACAAAGAACCAGAACCATAAAAGTTGAAGCAGCTTTTAGTTCTTATGCTGCACTAATCTGGAACAAACTCCAAAAGATGAAAAAGCAGAAAGCTTTATCAAATTGAAAGAAAAAAAAAGTTTGGATTGGGCTATGACAGGGTTTTCTAAATATCCACCCAAGCGGGGGTCGCGAGGGTGCCTATCTCCAGCTGTCTACGGGCGTAAGGCGGGGTACACCCTCGACAGGTCGCTAGTCTATCTCCAGTCTATTGAAATGTTTTTAGTTTAATTTTGTGGACCAAATTTCTTCATTTCATTATCAACCATTTATTATAATTTAAGAATTATTTTTGCAATGTACTTTTCTCTGTGTTTTCATATTATGTACAGTACTTTGAATCATCTTACTATTGAAACCTCAGATATACATAAACCTGCATTGCCGTAAACCTCTCTTTATTCTATCTGCTCAGTCAATTAAGCTGAACATCCATGTCTTTGGGATTTGCAGTCATGCCACACTCATAATAATCCTTATCAGATAATGATAAATCGTTGCTACTACCTGAGACTTGCACACTACTTAGATTTTTGTCCATCACATAAAATCTCAATGAAATGTTCAACTTTACAAAATATAAAATACAAGATTATACTTTTGAAGCCTTGTGACTTCACTATGTGATCAGAACAGCTCTACTCAGCTCTGCCATCATAGTTTTACAGTTTTACAGTCTTTGATGAGCATTAGGTTCACTTAGGAGGCCATAACTTTGACTTGGATCAGACTCATCACTGCTTCAGGACTCACGGAGGGTTGTTGCACTGTCTGCTGCGAGAGCGAACACCACCTCCACATGTCCTGGAACACGATCCAAACTTTGACCATGAGCCCCAGTTTCCGTCATGTCCCTGCGGTTCTTGACTGGACCTCCAGATGCAATGACCCTTGAAGCACCACTGAACAAAACAGTAACATGAAAGAGATTCCTTAACATCAGAAGGGTTAAAATATGGGTCACAATATTCAGAAATATCATAATAGACGGTCGGTTTACCCAAAGGTTTTCTATCATTATGAATCAGATATTTTTTAAAAAGGTTATGCTTTAGTTATATTTCCTACCTTTCCAGGTGCACACTCTGTCCCATCTACAGGAGGACCTTTTTTCGTTTTACAGAAATACTGGTTGTCTGGGTGGCTGCACCACAGCTGCTTACAAGGATCGTAGGTTCGAAACTAAGTAATAAAAAACCTTATTTTAGAATATATACCAACATCAGTTTTTTCTCTGAACATTCTAAAATTATGAATTTCACTGCATTTTTAAACAATAATATACTCTCTAATGCATGTCCAGATTTTTTAAATGTGGACATGCATGACTTGCTCAGAAAAAACAAGTAGTTGTCATCAGTCAATACAATAAATCTCTTCAAATATGCAAGACTTACAGCTGTGCACATTTTGTAACCGGCACCAAAATCGAAACGGCACTGCTCATCCATTGAATAATTAATTCCAGGAAGCTCAGGGAGCTTGGGCCACTTGTGTTCAAAGGGATCATCCAAAAGACAGTCATAGGAGCTGTGGAAAAGAGTGAAATAAATCACACTTAAATATTATATATCATAAGAGATATTGGGAAAACTGCTCTAAATTCTTACGGAACCAGAAGAATACTATATAAAGTGGTGTGGGAGAAGCAAAACACACTGAATATATCTGTTGAGCTCCTGTTTGCTGCAGCGTGACCAGTGATAACGATGGAAAGCTGCTTGGACAAGTGGAGCCATGATGCTGCCCATACTGGTTTCGTCAGCACAACGATTCCCTTGGCCATCATGCTCCATACCTAGCCTATGAAAAAAAAAAAAAAAAGATAAACATTTAAAGTAAAGTTTTATCTTTCTGATGTTTCAAATGGAAATATGATAAAAAAAAGAAAAAAAGATTGCTTTAATTCATTGTGTGCGAGGGAATAAGACTCAAGATAGCAGTTCAGTAAATAACATATTTGGCAATTTTAATGCTAATTAAGATTCTGCTTATATTTTGTTCTCAGTCATGTAGTGAACGCATCAAATAAGGGGAAATTTTACTCTGGTCAGATGTTACCAACATTTTACATTTTATATAAAAGAATATATCAATAAAATTGCCCTGAATGCTATCCCTGTTGAGAAAGAAATTGTTGCGGTACCATCATGCAGTGGGGATTATTTTCTTTGGCAGCGATGAGGAAAAGTGACAGAATTGATGGGAAGATGGTTGGAGCTAAACATATAATAATGTTTGAGAGAAAAACTTTTACAAGTTTACAAAATACTTTAGTACAGCAAATAAATATTAAGATTTGAAATAAGAAAAGATTCATAAAACATGTACCCTTTGCGTTCCACTTCACAAATATTAACTACTTTGTTATGGCCTATCACAGAATATACCAAATATTACAGAGGAGTTTGAGGTCGTAATTTAGAAAGTTTAAGAATCAATAGTTTTTAAAGGAGAAAGTATAGAAAGCCCAATGGTTAGGGGGATTTCTCATTGTGGCTAAAAGGTGTTGAACAATCAATATCTTTGCAGAGTACATACAGTTGGTTTCAACACTGTAATCTCAGCTGTAGAGCTAAAGAAAACTGAAATCCTTAAAGTTAGACTAAACATTTTGCACCCTTGGCTGACTGAGTTTTTCTATTATAAATAGTTTATTAAGTCATAAGGACGGAGGCAGTAGGGCAGAAACAAAGTTGTTTGCGAGCACAGTTGGCAAAAAAGAGTTTATGAGAGTTTAGAGTCCAACAGATATGTATTCAATGAGTCTTTGTAAGGTTTAAACACTGCAGTCTCACTGTACACACAGATTAGTAACTGTGCCCTTAAGCTAGTGGTTCAAAAAGTATGGCATATTATGTGCGGCCATAATATAACAGTCTGCAGCTCCTCTTTGTGCTGCGTCCTGTCTCTAACTCTTTTCTGGTATGCATTAAAGAACCATTCCTCATTACTTCCACCTCTGTATACCAGCTTTTATTCCTGTTTTAACACTAGCTGACACTCTTTGTCCATCGCCAGTATGGCCATCAGATATAAAGTGTAGGAGGGGGTTAAACCCAGGTATCTTCTCTTAATTTCCTCATTGAGACAAGTCAGACTTCTAACCTTTACTTAATCATACTTAGTTACTTTAACACAATTTTTAGGACATAAGACAATTGTGTTAAAGTGTCTAAATATAATTAAGTAAATGCCAAAAGCGGTGCATTATTTTTTTCAGTGCATTATATACAGTAGAGTAAGAGGTTACAAGATCATCTGCATACAATAATTGCTTAATCACAGCGCTGTATCACGCATCTATATTTGGTTTTCCAGCTTTTATAACTACTTTAATAAATCCTCGATATAGACATGATGAGGAATAGAGAAAAAAATCTATCAAATAAACATACGGTAATACTTTCTTCCTGAATAAATATAGGACTGTAAGCTCATACAAAAGAAACTGAATCTGCGTGTTTCTTTTTTCTGAGAGGCATAATTGCCATACCATATTCATTCAACCAGCGTCACTTCTCTGTGATCCTGTTGATAAAGCCAAAAGATTACCTCTGCATGCGAGATAGAGGTTGTATGGTGAAAAGGCTTCATGTCTTTCACATTGCTTGCATGCATGATGACACAGGAACATCAAGTTTTTCATTCAACTGACTGGAACAAGCTTGGACTGACTACATCAAAGAGTAACCATGACAATAGCTTGCAAGAGACTTGTTTTATTCAGAGATTAGAGCTGGAACTATAAAGCTGATCAAACCCATAAGAAACTATCATGCTAATATAAAGTAGGTTCAATCACTCAAAAAAGTTTACTTCACTCATCAGTTGTGAAAAATATAATTGTTTTTAAAATGATACTCTTCATTTCATCTGCACTTGAGACTAAAATTAAGTCTTTGAGATTAACACCTGCTGGAAGTTTTCCAAAATTGACTCTGGAAGCAATCATTTCAAACAAGCACCAGATTATACAGATGTCTTTCTGTGACAGAAGGGAGAAAAACAACACCTTCAGAAATTGCTCTCTGCTGGAATCGAAGCAAACAAAGTGCATTTGAACAGAGAATTATTTTCAGATAAAATCTTTCCCTCCTTCCTTTTAGGCTGAGAACAAATAAGTCACTGATGATGATTATTATTACAGACCATGGACCTTAGTTTAAAAACGTCAGCAGAGAAAAATAAACTGAAATAGCACTCAGCGACATAAGAAACTCGCTTGAACTGATCACAAGCCTAAGCATTCAAAATCTTTCAAGATAAATTAATTTAATAATTATATCTCGATAAATTAAAAAGAATAAATTATTTGTATAATTTCACTGACAAATTAAAATCATATATGACTTATTATTTCCATCCATCCTCTACTGCTTGTACGTCAGGGTCACAGGTGGCTGGTACAGTTTGGGAGAAAGGTGGGGTATGACCTGGACAGGTCTATAGTTCATCGCAGAGCAATCATATATTGAGATATTTCAATAATTACTTCGGTTCATTCTAAATATCAACTGATTTTAGTTCTAAAGGACATAAAAAAGTTTCTGGCTGATTGTTTCATCATCGGCATAAAGGCAATAATTTATGTAAAAGCAGACCTAACCAAGAATTGCAAAAGAACAGTGCATAGTACAGTCAGCAGGTAGTATTTGTTGCTTAAAAATCCTTTTTTAAATGAAACAAAAATTTTGTAAGCACCGAGTTTTGCAACTTTATTAGCTATAAGCTATAAACATTGCAATTGGTAGAAATAATTATTTGAAATATTAAAATAATTTTTAGCTTCACCTTTACAATGACAAAGTTACTTTTTGATGAAACTGGATGCACTCGTTTATTTGACTTAATATTGTCAACAAATATTAAAAATCACTTGGTAACAATAAGTGCAATAACAGGTTTTAAAAAGCTTGACGAATGGGTGGGCGATGGAATCAAAAGAAGTATTTGGGTGGCTGTTCATCTGAAGGCCAGAGACCTTTAATTGGCAATAGGCACAGAACACAGTCTGCTTCTGTCAAAGGCTAATGGGATGAAACGTTGTTGACCTTGTCCTTTTTCTTCTTTTGTGCAATATGACAGACAATCAACTGTGTTCGGCTGGCTCTGGATTCTCGTGCCAGTAGGAGGCCTGGGTTCACAAATGTTACAGCACTTCATTATACTTCAGTCAAAATAAAAAGGAGAAAGAAGACTGCAAATAGGCAGAGGTTTTGCACAACTTTTAGAATTGAATTCAACTTTATTTTCATTACACTGTCACAAGTAGGCTACAAAGCAACAAAATTCAATCTCTGCATTTAACCCATCCCCTTGGGAAGCAGTGGGCTGCCATTCTGCGGCGCCCCGGGAGCAGTGTGGGGTTAAGGCTGAATTATACTTCGAAACCAGGTCGTCTGCCAAGGTGTCGCAGTGAGCGCATAGATGTCCCCGCCCCCTCGGCAGACACCTCTCCCAAATTGTAGGTGACTGCAGGCAGGAGGCCTCTGATTGGTCAAATCTACATCTGCTCTACTCATGCGTATTTCCTGTTTGGTACCCTACCGGCTTGTTTTGTTTGTATGACCGCCATTGCAGAAAACAACTCGTGAAGCTGGACCAGCTAGAAGAGCGAGGTGCACGAGACCCTTTTTCCACCTTGATTACCGCTCTTTTTCATCCTCATGTCCCTCCGTTGTCATGCAAACTTACCCCCACTTCCTCACCACCTCGGCCTTATCGAGACACAGCTAATTCATGATTGTCCCTCTTGCGTTGTTGCGTGGAATTACATACTGCAGACCACTCTTCAATATTGGGCATAAATCAAAAATGTCTGCTTTATACCTGCGACAAGCTCACTGCGACACACTGCTGTGGGAGTATAACCAGCTCTTTAAGGGTCTTGCTCAAGGACCTAGAGTGGCAGTCTTTGGGAGTGGGGTTTGAACTCAGAACCTCTGGATTTCAATGTTTTAACCAATAGGCTACCACTTCTTTATCATTACAAAAAATGGAGGAGACAAACCCTATGTAAAACATAAGTTAGCTCCTAATAAATAGGGTATCATATACAGTAAAGAACACTGTAGAGCAGTGATTCCCAACTGGGGGTACTAGTACCCCTAGTGGTCCGCGAGTGCATTGCAAGGGGTACATGAAAATATTTTATTTCTAAGGTAATGAAATAAAATAGGCCGGGGATCTGTTTTGTTTTGTGAGGAACCAATTGAAAAATGAAACAGGCTCAAACATATAAGAAAAAGTGAGTTTCTCTTATATGTTTGAGTTCACCTTCAGCTGTGACACACCTCAAAACCAAGCAGAGGAACAGGCTGGATGTAGAGAACAGCCTGGGATCCGCTGTTTTTCACACTGAGCTATTGGAGTTCATCAAAGAAGCTCAGGTGTCTTGATGAAAACAAAATAAATCTAATAAAGTCAGTCTGACTAAAATTGTTGTTTTGTATTTTGTTCACAATTCATCAAGAGCAAATGTGATTATAAAGGAGTTACTAAGAGGAGCTCCAGCTTTATAAACACAGGTTTATAAAATAATTTTATTTTGTATTTATTTAGATTCCTTACTAACTTCCAGGCAACATATACATGTTGTTTTATATTTGACATGGAAAGCATAAAATACCTAAGAATGAAATGCTCAAATTAAAAGATTAAGTTGAATAGCTTATATTTTGTAATCAGTTATTGCACGTTCCACTTTTGGACAATCATCAATACTTTTGACTGAGTATTGGTGGTATTGGTAAAACACTAGTAAAAACTAAGTCTTTTATCTTAGTTAGTTTAGTCCTGTGGGAATAAATCATAAAAATAATTATCAGGGGAACCCATAGCAATCACCATACAGTATAAAGAAATAACAAAAGAATCGTCTTTTATTTCCACTGGGATAAAATAAATCCCATTACTCTTAGCAGCTTATCAAAAAGGGAAAGGAAGAACACGCCATTCAACTCAGATGTAATTATACAATTAAAAAAATGTAAAAGAACAGAAAGTTTGACTATCGAGTCTGGACATGGATGAAATGTTGATTATTAGACTATACTAAAAAAGCAGGTCTTAGAAACTATCATAGCTCTTTCTTAAAATAATGCAGATAGTAGCGACTTATAGTGACCAAGCCAACTTGGCAACTATTACAAACCAGATTCTAGAGAGGAGGAAAGAAAAGCCTCGTCCATCCCATCATAAGAAACATAAAAATGGAATTTCCTTAACACCACGACTCAATATGCTAAAACTATCACATGTGGATTTTAAAGTTTCCCAAATACATTCATGACCAACCTTTATTAAACATAATTTAAGTTTTACATTGTTTTACATCAAATGTTTTATTTTTGAACTTACTTTGGATTTTCCCTAAATTAAATAAAATTTTCGAAGGCTCTAATATGTACATACACCTCAACTAATATTTACATACATGTCCCTTGAAATGGCACTAGTACAATTCTGAAAACAGATTGGACCACTCTCTTTTTATCAGAAAGGGTAAAGTCTCTTTGCATTGACCTTTATTTTACCATAATAAGGCAGAACTAGCCCCATATTCCTAGACCTTTTACCTTATTAAACACTTTTGAATATTGTTTTCTAATATTCTAATAAGTGAAACTGAAGAATTTTGATGTTTTCCTAAATTCCAAATAGTTGATGGAATGTACTGTACTGTAGTAGCATAACTGGCATCAGAAACCCACAGAATAATGCAATCACCACCATGCTTGATCTTGACTCACATTTTGGCAAACAAATCTGCTTTTGCCTCAACGGATGAAAAACATTTTCTTTTTTGGCTTCGGATAAATCATCTTGGAAGCTATAGATTTTCCTCATGCTTAAAGCTCATTTCTAAGCATGCACTTTTTATTGTATGTAGGCATCTCCTCAGTCCCTCTTTGTGTATTACTCAATTCACCGTGGACATACAGTGGTGTTTGATCATCTTCCAGCTTCTTATAGACTTGAGCTTTAACGGACCTTAGGTTATTAAAACTCATAACCAATTTCCTTTCATGTGAGGCTGACAGTTTGGGTCAGACAGTTGAAACTATAATAAAATAAAAACTGGCTTTACAGCGCCTCCTGGATGTCTATGAAAAGTACCTGATTATATGCATGCAGTTTGAATCTCTACAGCTTACAGAAAATGCATAATGATTTCACACTAATCATTTCTAAAATAAATTACCTACATTTAAAGGAGCTAAATTCCTGCTCATCGCATGCTTATTAGCAAAATAATGTTTTTATATTAAAGACTTTTTCAGTGACCTTTAAAATCTGCCCCCTAATGGTTATGTTTTGACTTTCATCTGACTATAACTGGTTTACTTCTTATTAAATGTTTAAGCCTTTACTTCTTTACTGGAAAGACACCCTCTTCTCCTTCCTTCTAACTAAACTAAACCTCTCTAACACACAGCCCCAAAAACAACATGTCTTTTCTGAAATTAGAGAAGATTAGATATTTAGTAAAGGTCAACTATGATAAATTCTACAGTGTTTAAAGCCCTTTTCCAACACACTTTCATTCGCTTTGGTCTTTGTCCTCCTACTAATGGACCCCCACTCTTTATTATTTTCTTTTCTTTTTAATCCTTTTTCCCTCCTTTCTCTATATTTGTATTTTTTCAAAGGTAAAAAGCTGCAGAATGTTAATTTTGTTTTCTTTTTGCTCTTTTGCAAATTTATTCTTTTTATGATACTGATGTAAAATTTATTTTAGTAATTAATTTCCATTCTTTTTTCTTTTCTTGTTCCTTTTTTCTGTGAAAAAGTAAAAAGCTGCAAGATTTGAAGTGCATATATCATGTCTGTTCTTTTTCACATTTATTCATTCAGTAATACTAATGTGATATACCTTACTGTACATCTCATTATATGACATTAGAATGACTTGTCAAATATTGTGCTTGCTTAAAATAAATATTAAGCACAAAGTCACAGACAGCCATAAAAACTATTTTAAAACTTAGAGAGATTCTAAAGCCTTTCTTTATAAGACTTTTACTTACACATGACCTGTTTCATGAGCAACCACGAAGGCAGAGGAGAAGCCGTCTTCATGATTCAAGGTGCAGCTCCTAAGCGGGTGACACATGCCAGTAACTGGAGCATAACCTAGGCAAGAGAAGAGATCATACAGCCCCAAAAATCAAGAAAAGTTGAAGAATTTACACTATATATTATATAGCATTTTTTCAGTACAGTCCACACAAGCTATTTAACAAAAAGTTCACACCAGATGTCAGTAAGAACCCAGCATTCAGGGAAATCATAATAACACCAAAAATGATGTCATGAATAATAAAGTTAAATGAAACTGGAGATATCTATTGAACATCTTTACTGAAATAATACCTTGTAGAAAAGCCTTTGTTTCTTTAGGATATCTCATTAACTCTGAAGACAATATTTGATTAACATCCATTACAAAGGGGTGATTTTAACCCTCCTTTTTCACACAAACATTCCTCAGATCTTATAAAGATCTGGGGATCTTTTTAATGCAGTCTTGAGCTTAGGTCTTACCAAGATTTTTTTAATTAAATTTATACGAGGTGATTTACTAATTAATGTTTTTCTTGGCTGTGAGTTTGCAATAAAAATCCCCGTTTGTTTTATCCTTACAAAGAATGTCTCCTCACACATCATTTTCTCAATTATTTAACGTCTGCCAGTACCACATGTGGAAAGACAACTGTATTGATATTTCCTAGTGGTGTGCAGAGCCATTCCTCCACCATACCTGCTGTGCAATAAACTGGTAATGAGAAACCTATTTATAGACCAACTTAAGCCAGTCGATATGAGCTTATACTGACTGCTTGAAAATGTGTACAGATAACACTTTTTTTCTTGCCTTTAAATGCTGTTTAAACTTCCTTAAATCATATTTTCTATATTTACCTTGTGTTAAATCAATTTATTACACAAAACCTTCCTTTATTTTGCTTGCATTGGGTTTTTACTTGGTTTGCTGACAGCATGTAGTGTGAATTTTACATCAGTAGTGGAAATATTTTCACTGAAAAAATGTTGAAATGTTCATTATATATGTATTTTCCTCTCCGCATTTACATTAGATACCCTAGCAAACTGTACAAAATGAATAATTATGGACTCGCCGTGACAGCAGGTCTTCAAACCAAATCTGCAGTTAATTTAGACTTTAAATATACCATAACAATGATTGCTTAGATCCTTAAAAAATCAATTTCTTCCGTTACTAATGTTCCAATTGGGCAGAATATTGTATTCAGAAAGTAGCAATCTCAAGTATTCAAGGTAAACCACTTCTAATGATTTTCTGAAGGATAAAAGTAACTGAGTGGTTTGTTTTTGTAATGAGGTGTGAGTGGTTTCATTTTACTCTGATTTAGTAACTACTTGACAGGAAACCTCTTGAGCCTCTGACTGGCAAAAGGCATGAAAAAAAAGCAACACTAATGGCCTTACATGTGAAATGAAAACAGCATGAGCAGCTTGCATCATGGTAATGATGAGCAAACACAAGCCCAATACATCTGTGACGCAGCATTTCTCCAAGATACATAAAGCTACATCCAGCTGTCATGACAGTATAATTTCAACATGGCAACAAACTTTGAGGCAAAGCACAAACAAAAAACATAACTCGATCAAGAGGTGTGCAGCGATTCAGCTTTAAGCATTTGGCATGGTCCAGAAGCAGGCTCTTTTGAGCCTTTTTTTTGGCAGCTTTCAGAGAAATGCTCATGCTAGCTGACCTCCAGAAGACTTTTTTTTTTTGGCATGCAGGTAAAAAGCAGAAAATGCAGCAGGCAAACAGCTGGTGATAAAAGCTCTTGTGTTATTTGGTTGGTGATGAATAAGAAACGTTGGCAGCAAGTTATTACAGTTGTAGTGTAATGGGATTTTATTATTCATGATATGACTGCTCTATATGCTATTTCATATTTCCAATTCATACTGCTGATGACTATAGTAATAAATGACAGTACAAGAGCTTATTAATGTTGCAGGTGAAAGAAATGACACGTGAAAGCAGATATAGCATGACTCTTTATCTCAAAGGCAGATAAAGGGAAATGCTGAAACATTGCAATGAAGAGAGCAGCTCTATATTTGCACGCTGAAGCACAAACATGCAGCAGCAGTAACATTTTTTTCCTGATGGAACAAAGTGAAGCAATATTCCTTATAAACTCAGGTATCATATAACATGCCTTGAACATGTAAAAATTATGTTTGTATGATTTTATTTTTTTTCACATTACAGCCAAAAACCTCTGTTTTACTGTGATTTATGTTTTCCAACCAAGCCTGAGATTGTAATTAAGTCTGACCTGTAACCTGGTCTTTCTAGTACAAGAACATGCCATTATCTAAACCTGTGATTGATGTTTTTCTACATGGTTTTGCATAAGAGAAAAAATAGCTATACCTTTGCATTCTGCAGATGTCTCCTAATGGCTCATTTATTAGATTGGTATTTTGCACTGATTGAACACCTGTAATATGAGGGGAATCCAGCCCTTAAGGACTACATTTGGTGTGTTTTTAGCGTCATCAGCTGCTAAAAGGTAAACCTCTGGCTGCATCTGAAATTATTAAATGAATAAGAACTCTTTAGCCACAGCATTCCACTGCTGGCAGAAAGAGGGAGATACTGTAGGGAAAGGGGACTGTATGCTTCATATCATACTTTCTTTAGCTTTGGGACCTCGAAACATTCCTATCTGGTACTTAGTATAGGGTGGCCATTTTTATAGCACCAAAAAGGAGGACATTGTGTGGCATATCAATAAATTACTAAGGTGTACATAAGAATCGGGTAAAGTCACATTTATAGCACAATTAGTCACATTTATAGCACAATTCTTAGTAGTTTAAAGAGGATGCTTGTGTAGCTGAATAGAACAAAATATTAAAGAAATGTAAAAAAGAATTGGTTCCCAGCATTTG